CCCCAAAACCCCAAAACCCCAAAACCCCTTGGGATTAAATATAATTGAATCTGTTAGCTAGAATGGAGAATATACTTTCTAATGAGTCTACCACAATAAAGGATTACAAGAAATTACCAAAGGTTATCCAGTCAATGTTTGACTACAAAAGGCCTACTATATCGTAACTCTCTTAACAACCTCTTTAGGCCGTTGAAGGATAAGAAAAGCTCTCCAAACTATAAAAGAGATGATGCTGTTCTGCAACAAAAAGTAGAGCTTCTCCAGATTGAAGTCAATGATCTCAGAGAGAGTGGAGATTTAAAGACCAAAATGCATGATTAAAGACTATCAGCGCTTTCCAAGGTAACTTTTTGAGCTTAAACATAGTTAAATCACAACAGAATCAAGAAGAAGTTCAAGAGCTTACTGCGCAAATAGAGGATCTGAAGGAACAACTAGAGGAGTCACTTAAAAACCAAGAGAAGTATAAGAAAATGCTTAAGAAGAAAAGTGATCAGATAGACTATCTTAGTACAAAATTTCAGGAACAAGCTGCCAAATTTGCCTTAGAAAAGGACAGACTTATATGTAGCATGGAGGACGGACTTGACAACCTCAGAGATACCTTCATTAGTAAGCCACATTGGTAACATTCTTAGGTATTTTGAAGAAGGAGAAGAAGAGGGTCAAGGATTCCTACACTAAGAGAGCCGCTAAGCAAGAAATTTATCACAAGCAGTGTGCTAGTTCGTGTAATCTCAAAGAAAATCAATGTAATATTTCTAATAAAACTATAGCATCTAAAACTCTGAGTCCTTGTAAACCCACTGAGAAGGGTGAACCTGACCATTGTGTGATCAATTCGTGCTTCAAAATTTTAGAGTAGGTTGCTCTTTGACTTTCTTAGGAAAATAATTGACTGCTATAAAGTTCCAAATACAGTTGAAACCAGCGAAACTGATCTGAAAGATGCAAATATTTACCAGTAAATTTTTGACCTCAAATCTTAGAAGCAGTATGCTAACACCTGAGAAGCATCAGGCAAAACATCTGATGAACTCCAAAGAACTCGAAGGTAACTTCCTATGAAGTCATAGCACAAAATATAGACTTTGAAAGCTCACTTGCCAAGTTTGAAGCCATGGAAGAAGCCTTGGTCCAGAAGGACAAACTAATACATAAATTGAAATAAGAAAAGTAAGTCTTTCTTTGTCAACATTTAGAGTTGAAAATAGATAAGAAATCAAAATCTAGGCTGAAGCTTGAAACTACTGTCAACTTTAAAGTCGATCAATTGATTAAAGATGTCAAGAAGAGTGTCACCTCTCTCAATCAGAAAAATATGATGAGGCCTAATTCTGTGCAGAGAGGATTTAAGAAAGTTAAAATTGAATCCAATCAAGCTCTACAGATAAGTAAGCAAAAAGGAATGGAGAGGGAATGATCAACTCCAATATTTTTCCAAACATTTGTTGGGAAAAGAAACAGCACTTTATTGTCTTGTCAGCACTCCTTTGGAGATACCCTGTGAAGTCCCATAACTACACTTAATGAAAAGAAGAGTAGCAAGGTGATAAAGATGAAGATGTGTAGAAAGAAAAAGCCGCCTGTGTCAACTAAGACTTTGAATACAACTAAAAACTCTCCAACCCGTGATCACAAAATTAAGACCCTCACAAAAGACGAATTTCAGTTGTATAGGTCCACTATGGATCAATCCAAGAGTCCTGGCAAGGTAAAATGTAAATTATGCCATAAGAAAGGCAGGATTAAGGACATGCAAACCCATGTGTGCTTTTCTGATGGATAAAAAGCCAGTAGATCTGCGTTTTAAGGTATTTATTGAGACTAAAATACGCAGGCAAGTATAACTATCAGTTAAAACAAAAAGAGCTAATTTTTACAAAATAAAATTTAATCTCCACTGTTCAGTATGTTAATTTGAGTGGGGTTTTGGGGTTTTGGGGTTTTGGGGTGA